GAGGCTTTAACTCTAGTCAGAAGTTTTAACTCTGGTCAGGTTAACTATAGTATTCTTAAGAATAATACCAAGAGAAAAATACTCCAAAAGGTAAATTTTTTAAACAACAAATTATAGAGATATCATTTTTACTCTAAAATGAACATAAAGAATAGCCAAGAAAATACCTATTTCACAAACCTGATTAAGGGGATGAAGTTCCAATGACATTGGTACTGACAGCAATTATAAGATTCACTCATTTCCTCTACAATGGTCATTATTATTTATGATTAAACGTTTTACTGCTTAATGAAACCTACGATATACAAAGTTTGTATTCTGATACTAAAAATGAAAAAAACAGTACAATTATAAGAGGAAAATGGAGCATTAAAAAGACAGGAAATTTGTATATATCAAATGTTTTCTCTACCTTAATTGTGATCACATGACCAATTTAATCCGATGTCTCCATTTTTGACTTAATACAAAGGTTCTACAGAGAATAAAATATCTCTATGAACACCATTCATCCTAATACAAGACTGTTCTCAAGTTTAAGAAGCAATTTGTTCAATTTTTGGTATATAATACTTTAAAGTCCATTTTGAATTCACTGTATACAACTAAATCTGTTTGCATTCTTGGGCCAATAAAAGACTGTTCTCAATAGTCGAAGTGAGCCAAACTTGGGAAGTAAGATAATTTCGGTGGTCTGAAATTTTTTTAACATGAAAACTGGCGATTCTCTCTGAACAAGACTGTTATCATTCTGATAATTTTCATCACATAATCTTTAAAACCACATGTTAAAAACGACTAAACAAAAATACCTTCTAGGAAATGAACTCTTCGTATATTTACTTCTGATGTGTATCTACTTTGCGTATTCTCCAAAACTGTTAACATCGAGAAAGCACACTAGTTCCACTGTGCATGTATTTTTGATAATTCCCTATAGGCTAACACAAATCAACTGTATTATTGTAATTGAGTAGGTAAATACTTTTGCCAAATCACCGCCATCATGATATTTATCAAACCAAACAACTATTGCATGACTTTTGGATAACTTACACATAGATACATTTTTTCTATTCATGAAGTGCTACTCTTCTGAGGAAAGAGTTTAAAAGGGAAATTGTTAGTAATTTTGCTACAAAATATAAGCTAGAGCACTTTCAGGAAGTACTTTAAAAAAAAAGATTACTTTTTTTCCCCAAATAATAGTCAAATGGTAATTAACCAAAGAAAAGGGTGAATGTCATTTCCTCTGAAAATGTTGCATTGAAAATCATTTCTAAGCCATAAAAGGTAAATGCAAATAATGACATTGCAAAACATCCTACACAATTAATTTATTTGTTTAAATAGATGAATACATATATTTTCTTGGCTACTGGCTACAATGATTCATAACTAAATATTTCCCTCATTATAGACTTTTTAATTAGAAAGAAAACATAACACTCAAAGCCAAAAAAAACTCAGAGATAAGAAAAATTGTTGCAAAACAGTACAGATAATTTATAAAAGAGGAAAACAGAATATAAGAAAAACAGGAAATCTAGATACACCAAATCTGTTTTCTATATCTTAATTGTGATCACATTACCAGTTCAATCAGATATTTCCATTTTTTATTTAATACAAAGATACTACAGAGAATATCTCCATGAACACCATCCATCCTAATGCATGACTGTTTTCAAATTTAAGAAGCAAGTTTCAGCTGCATAAATCACTCATCCACTTTCACCAAATGGTTCTTTTTATTGTAAAGAATTAATTTTATTTACTGCCTACCTTTGTTAGACTTGTAGCTGTTTAGAATCTTTTGATGGGCTTGGAGATGGGTCTCTCTCAGTTACAGAGCTGTTATATCTTCTACTTGCTAGGAATGTGAGGTTTCCAAGTGTTCCCCCTGTGAAATGTGGAATCACAGATGTCCCACCAGGTAGTCTCTGGTTGCATCAAGTTTTTAGAGGTATCTTACATGGATTTTAAGCTATGTTTCATTTAAACTTAAGGACAAAAACAATTGTGACCAAGTAAATCAGAAGTCCATGGTCATTGAGTTGACTTCACATTCACGAATTTGCTGACAGGATAGTCCTTAATGCTTTATTTCAGGGGTTAGCAGCCACAGCCTGTGTGCTGCTGGCTAGAGACTGCCAGGCCCCACAATCACTGCATTGACAGGCAATCTCCGCTGCCTCCGCGGCTCCCTTCGTGACAGCCCGGGGTTTGCACGCAGGTAAGTGTGAGCTGTTAACCAGCTGAGGTCTGCCCTGGACACACTCAGTCATTAGTTCTGAAGGTAGAGTAGAAGAAGGACGAAAGGGGGAGGGTGGGAGGAATTGCAAAAGTGAAAATAAGGAAGGACAGATGCATAAAATGCATCCTTTCCACCCCCAAAGTGAGGAGGGCCCGTGGGGAACAGGGGCCTGGATTAACTGGAAAGGGACTGAGGTGAGTGGAGGAGGCTCCCTGAGATGAAAGCCTTCCAGATGTCTTCTTGTGGAGCACTGAGAGGCTCTGAACAAAACTGCAACAACTGTTGCCCTTGATTTCCCATCTCGGTCCCTCTACTTAATTATCAGCATGACCTGATGTGCTTACTCTCTGACCATGAGTTCATCACCCCAATCACAGCACAACCATCTTTTGAATTAAATCACCAAAAAACCCAATCCCTGAGATGTACTCTGAGGTGTGGATTTTAATGAACTGATCAAAGTGCTATTCTCCCAAGCACAATAGAGAAAACTGGTACTTTACATGATTGCAGCACTTTCCTGGGGTAAGAGAAGTCTCAAGGGCCCCTAGGGTCAACCCCTCTCTCCTCTGGCTTACGCCTCCTCCAGCCCCACAGGTAGGCTGAGCACAGTCACAGTTCACTCCCCTCGGCTTAGCCAGCAAGGTCTGCAGACGTTTTTGGTCTCAGACTGGCATGGGGAGGGACGCTGCGGGCACCTAGGGGGTAGAGGCCAGGGATGCTGCTAAACATCCCGAAACACACAAAAAGGAATCATCCAGCCACAAATAGTAGTACTGAGGTTAAGCAAGTCTGAGTTAGAGTGGAATTTATTACAGTAGCATTATCACACCATCCTATAGGGCTTCTTCACTTTTGGCCTCGGGCAGCAGCCCTAAGCCTCAGTACATCTTGCATCACAATGAATCACAACCCTGGCCTCAAGGAAATCCTCCAGGATTGTAGGAATGCAGGAATGAGGATGGGGGCTGAGGAGCGACTCCACCTCAGCCTGCCTGCTCCACAACTGACCTCTCAGCTCTATCATGCCTTCTTCCCCAGCAACCAGAGTACCCAGCCTGCCCGGGTTGCCAAAATGATTAAGGAAAATATTCCCTTGCCCTTACCACTGTTTATGATTCCTCTGTGACAAAATAAAAGCTGGTTTGTACAGAAATGCAGGAAAAATTTTGCTCTTCAGATTGGGTTTTTTATTGTTGGCCCTTTTAAGTTATAAGGTATTCTCTCAGAGAGAGAGAGTGCACAGCTTATTTCTCATTTTTTGACCTCAGCAGATTAGTAAGGAAGAAGAGGTGGTCTGGAAATACTTACAGGCCTTTGTAAATAAATGAAAATGAATACTCCTACAGTTGAATTCTTTTTTAAAAAAATTTTATCAGTTTTAGAAAGGAAATGCAAAGGCTATGCCCATACCAAATGGTACTATCTATTTTTAGTAGGCAATCTTCTCTAACTAGTTGGTTCTGTTTCAGTCTGGACCTCAAACATAGTGTGAAAAATACTTTTCCCTTTACATTATTATATGGAAAACACATCTATATAGCCATTAGTTAAGAAGGTCTTAGGGTTTTTTTTTTAATCTATTAACACGGATTACATATATGAGAGACTATTTGCATAAAGTCGAGGTAGATGAATGAAATGATACACAAAAAGAAAAATAACAGGTGATGTGATAAAGCTAAGATAACCAAACTCAGAGTGAAGAACTCCCAACTCAAGCCTTTTGCAAGCTAGATGCAAAATGATGCTGAAATCCAACTTAAGAGATACACTTGCAATTCTCTTACCTACTTAGAATATAAACGCAAAACTATCTAAAAAATATTTTTAAATATCTTACTGACATAAATGTTCTTACAGAATTATGCTGGTACTAGTACAGATCTCTAGAGGCTCTTTTCTTGAAAGACATAATTCAGTACAATGTTAGCCTTTAAAGAGAATATGTTTGAAATATATTAATATGCAAATATTAAATAACATTAAAATATCCTGAGTTCATGACTCACCCAGATTTTTTGAAAACTTTTTATAAATGGTCAGACGTAAACCATAAAGACCTCTACTTTAGCCACAAAAGTGTAAGTAACAAGTTTTCATCTCATAAATGGTTTCACAATACTAAGATTAAAAAAATAATGAAGTACTTTCAGATGAACTATTCTATCTGTAATTCTAAAACTTCTTACATTTAAAAAGCATGCTGTTAAATTCATGAGATATTCCGCACAAGAGAGTCACTAGAAACCATTTTGCAAACTGCAGGAGGTTAACAATCACAACTGTCTTTAGTCCATGTGGTTTTACAGTCGTGATCACTGTTACTTCTCCCAGTTTGTTGCCCAACATTTCTTTCTCTGAGCTGGTTGCCTTCTTCAGTAAATACACAAGGCTTGAGAACAAGAGCTTCTGCATGAAAAACTACAGGCTTAGCAAACTTCAAATGCCAACCTAATTCTTTGGTACACTCATTTTTAGATTATCTTTTGCAGAAGAAATACTCCACCTTGAATCTTATTTACATGAGGAACCCCAGAAAACCTTACGCCAACAACTGCTTCTTTAAGAATAGAAAATTAACTGTCCTTCCTTTTTTTGTTTCCTCATAAAAAAATACAGTGAACAATTTTCATTAGCCTATTTCCCTTCTTTCCTTTGACATGAAAATATAAAAGCAAACTGACTTTTTATTTCTAATATGCAACTTCAGCTAATCTCAAAAAGTTAGCTGGAAGCAATGCACAAAATTACAGAGTTCCACATGCAACAAAACAACTGTTACTTAAACCTCATCGGATCCATTTTTATTTGCAATATTCACATACCTTTCAAAGTAAAGTTCCAATTTTTAACAAATTTGACTTACTCTACTGCCTGCCAGACAGACCCACAGGATTCTGTTATAACTGATGGTAACTACTTTTCCACACACTCCTACTGTTTAAGATACACTATTGTAACAATTTATGATGTTAAGATCAGCACAAAGCCATTGCCCCCTTTTCTGGCTTTTGCCTATTTAAGGATTAGCCCTTACACCACAACTAATATATAAATAAATACTTGCTGAGTAATGAATGAGTTTATTTCTGCCATGTTTACCACTATCCACTGTAACTATATTTTTAACAATCAATGAACAATCTCGGGCCCTTTTGGGCACCTGTATTCTCAATGCATCAATATTCTCTTTTCTACTTAAAAAAATGTTTTAGATGTATTTGCACAATTACCACACACACAAAAACACAACCACACATCTTCAAACCTCTGAGAAACTTAGGTACACATAATTGTGCTAGGTAATTCATTCAAAAGAAAATAGCAAGTTAAGTCAGTTGGACAAAATACAATGTATTTCCTACTCTTAAGAAAAACATTTCCAAAGAGATTTCCATTTAATACTAAGGAAAAATATAAACAGCTGCCCCCTCCAGTTAACAAAATCGATCAACACTTCGTTCCAATGAAACAAGATGCATGGCACCATTTTATGCTCTGCATTATCCCAGGATGGTTAACTACAGAACAGGACACTGAACTGATTCCTAGAAAGTCTGGTAAGAAACTAGACATATGTATTAAAACACACAGACACTACATATAGACAGATGCATGTGCTTACTATGACCTTAAGATTTCAATTCTCAAGTACAGTTTTTTAAAAATCCTTACTAGGAATCATAAAAAACTAAAATTCTTGCCTTTTAATCTTCAAGTAAGAGGATGCTAGTGTAACCGGCATGTGTCCTCAACAGACACAGAATTCAGTCAAGACCACTCCATGATTTTGTGGGAGGCAGCGTTCTAAATGTGTGACATGGTCTGAAGTCTGCGTCCCTACGTAGTTCTCAGAGAAGTCCAAGTTTAGTTTGGACGAGATCACTGGTTCTCAAAATGTGGTCCCTGAAGCAGTTCTCTCAGCATCACCTGGAAACTTGTCAGAAATGAGAATTATGAGGTACAGATGGATAGCCTGAATTAAGAAACTGTAAGAAGACCTACAAGGCTTGTTTTCACCTCCAGGCGACTGATATATGGTCAAGTTTGAGATCCTCTGAAACAGATAAAAGCCTTCTCCAAGGATCAAAATCCTACTGTCATCAGAGCAAATATATCTTCTAGAACTAGCACTATGTTCAATTAAATGCACTTGATTATTCATAGTAGTCTGAGTAAAATATCACAATCAAACTTACCATATTCTATTAGATAGTACTTAAAACTTCACATTTTCTCCAGGACAAAATTATATTAGCAAACTTTTCCCAATTAAGTAGACACTATGACAAATGTTTCATATCATTTTAATTCACGGTGGTTATCTACAATTAAACCCTCATGTTTGTAAGCAGGGGGCTTATTCTGTTGTGAAAAGGAAGGAGATCCTTTGATGCCAGTTAAGGTACAGGCATTCTGTATCTATTTCTCAAGACCAGCTGCGACCTATACTGTTCTCTCACTTTCCCATCCCATCTGTGAGAAATACTGGAGAATAACGCAAAAGTAGGTGCAACAACACGCTGGCGAAAACATGTTTAAAACAACCCAAATAGTTCACATCAATAGAGCATTTTTGGATTCCCACCTACAGCAAAGGGTAATAAATCATGAAGCATGAGGCCTCACACGCTGAAAAAATTCTAACCCCCCAATAGAGCTGGTCCTAAAATGTGATGCAATGGAGTCTATTTCAGCAGTTAAGAAGGTGCACAGTGTTGTACCTAAGAATCATAACTCCCAAATATGAAAATGTGAGACTTCCAATGGTATCTTCAACTTTTCTGAGGCTATTACGAAAGGAGGGCAAAAACAGTCCTTTGAAATAACATAAAGCTTGGGCGACTGTCAGGGACCAAAAGGAAAAGCTGTTAAAAACCAGCAGGGGTCAAGTTTAAAAGTTAACTTTTGCTCTCAGATAAAGGTTCCTTTTCCACCCAGTTTGTTTTGACAGGTGACTGCCTTACAACAAACTCCCTCCCTCCTTCCCTTCCTTTGACACCCTTAAGTCAGCCCCTCTTTCAGGGAAACAAATGCTCTTATCTCTTCACACCATAATTCTAAGGCATTCTTACTAGCCAAATAAACTGACATAGTCTTAAAAACAATGTCCCTAATTTCTCTCAATTTCGTCAAGAAAATCATGGGAGAAGGCTACAAAACTTAATACTATTTTCCTGCTCCAGGCACACACGCAAAGTTGCTTTCATTGGGAATCTAAAAAGCATTTATTTTACAGTACTCAGAGCATATTAAAATCTTCTGCCCTGCCATCCCAGACCTATAAAACATTTATTCATGTAAGTGACTAAATCCTATGTGAAGATGATTAATGCACCCAGCAACCTATTTCATTTCCAATTTCCCATTTTCAAAAATTCCCTGTCAGGAGTATATACATTTCTTAAATTAGATACTTGCCAGTATTTCACATCAAAAGGCTTCCAAAAAACCAAAACAAACTCATAAAAAAGTCACTGAATGTATTTTTAAAAATCCTTTATACAGTACTTGTTATATGTCTTCAGAGCTTTCAACACTTTAGATCTATTGAATCAACTAAATTTACACAAATGCAAGAATGAAATTTTGCAAAGCCTAAGTGTGAATACTTTTTCCTAATTTCTTTTTTAGCATATTTACATTACCTTCTAATTAAGTTTGGTACTAAACTTCAATGAGATCAAATGTAAAAAAAAAAAGCTTTAGAACCAAACCCAGGAATAATTCTCTATTCCTCCTCCATGCTGCAATTCTGAGAGGTCACCTGGGCCAAAGACACAACATTTTAAGGCAAGATATGTTAATACAGCTTTAAAGAAACCTGTGGCCTTTAACTTCTTTTGGCTCCCTCAGCACAATAACTCTTTTTGAATATCAAAACTCTTCACCCTACACTTCATGGACCTAAGGTATATCAAGTGCTTTTGATATACACCTTCCACTCCATAGAGATATCAGTAAAATGGCCCTTAAGAAAAACAAAATACAAAATAAAAAGCTCACACTGCCTCCTGCTGTTAGAAGGAAATTTCATGAGGTCAAAATGGTCCACAAACTGCACAGTGTAATAAAGCAAGAGACTTAAATGTTCTCTTTTTCTCTTTTTTTAACCTAATGATGTTTCCTAATTAAAGCCACAAAAGGGCTGAGACACTATTCACAACCCACCCAAATGTACTGCAGAAAACACTACAATTTTCAGAAGTGAAAATCATATCCCCCAAACAAGCTTTAAACTGGATAGGTCTTTTAAACAAAGCAGAACAAAACACGAGAAAAGAAAGAAAGAAAAAAAAAAAAAGAACACTAAAACACCACCCTGCCTGACCAGTGGATGGTTACTCTCCCAGATCTAAGGCAGTCTTAGAGCTGGCTTCTCCGCTTCCTGCTCTCAGTCAGCAGAACAGATTCAATATCCAGTTCATCTTAACAGTCAGAGGGAAGACCTTACCCCAGGCCTTCCTAGAACTTGATGATTATTTTCCATGTTTAAGGAGTTGGGAGTCTCCCAACTCGTCACTGACACTCCTCTCCTCAAAATCTGACAAACCACTCTTGGGGGCATCAGGCCCGTGCCCCTGTCCACCTCAGCCATGATACTGTATTAAATCACTGAATATGAAACACAGAAACACAAACAATAGTTTGGATTTGTTTCTTTAAAAACGACATTTGTATTAAAAATCTTAAAATGAAGAGACAATGATTAACCGCGTGTATGGAATTAAAAATTACAAATTGTTAGAATTCTCTTGGTACATCACAACAGTAAAATTTTGCTCTGTGCTTCTGGAGGAACACCCTAAAAGAGAAAACCAAAAATTAAAAAAAAAAAATTATATAAAAGGGGAGCTAAATACCTGAACATTGGAACAAAATGAAGCAACAAATTCTAAAAAGGAAAAAAAAAAAAAAACCAAAACCCATTGCATTACAAGTAAGTTACATTTTAAAGGCTGGAAAGAATAAAGAATTCACCTAACAACAGGCCCTATTGTCCTGGCTCCTTCAGGAAGATTATTAAAAGTAAACTGGGAAGTAGTTTGGGGAGGAATAACAGATTCTGGGATCTGGTGGGAAGTTCACAGGTTGGCACCGGCTGGAACAGCTGAGTTTTGAAGGCACTCTGCAGACACAGGGGTGCTGGGGGCCCTGAATCACATTTGCGAAGTTTCTGTACTGTAGTTTAAAGAGCTAGCCATCAAAACCATGTATGGCCAACCAATACGAACAAAAAGCTAAATCTAAAAAAACACACACACAACAGTACACACAAAAATGTGCAGATCTGTAACATTTTTTTTTTTTCACAGCTGATAAAAAAAAATACTACCGTTCTCCCCCAGACTCCCCTTTGATACAGTAGGTAAACAAAATAGATTTTTTTTTCCCCCCACAAATTATCAGCAGACACTTTCTGGCACCCCACACTGTATTGGCATCAGTGTTAACAGTCCCAGTTCAGATGTGCAATACTTCAGATTGGATACACTGTAACAAGAATCCAACTTTGCATAGACATCCTCAGAATCGAAATCAGTCACGGGGTTGCCTTTCCAAGCTGGCAGAAAAGGAACCCGATCTTAATTTCCAGCTACTCCTGGAAAACAAGGAAAAAACAAAAGTTTCTTCCTCTCCTCCTGCTCCTTCATTTGGTTCTCCCGGACTTCCTTCCGTGTTTTTCAAACTTGGAACTAGAAAAACGGTTGTTGACAGAAAAACAAAACAAAAAATGCCCCCTTTTCCACCTTCTCACCGTCCTCTTCCGCCCCCACCCCATTTCTTTTCTTTTTTTTTCTCCCCATACTGAAACTTTCGCCTGCCGGTGTCAAGCCGCCAATACAGGGCCCCACGGGCTGCTTCAATGGGGAAATATGCGTCAACCAAAATCAATGAGAAACGTACATGCTGCAAAGATCCACATTTCCACCGGACTCGGATGGTCATGACGGGACAACCCCTCGGAAACGGGGCAGGGGCGGGGGACGCGGCCACCGCGGCCAGTCGGGCGCCAAGAGCCCCCCGGCCGACGCAAAGTCATCTCCAATCTCAAAGCAAGAAGAGAAATCACATTTAGAAGAGTCGGGTGCGTTTGGCTTTTGTGCGCAGAGCGCGGCTGTCGCGCGGCAGCCGCGGGCGCCTCAGAGGATCACGCAGGCCGAGCAGCAGCCCTCATCGCCGTTGGGCTGCGCCGCGTAGTTCATCTGCCGCACGATCTCGGCGAACAGCTCGTCCACCGAGGCTTTGTTTTTGGCCGAAGTCTCCATGAAGGGGCAGCTCCACTCCTCCGCCAGGGCCTTGCCCTCGCCGAATGAAACCTCGCGCTCGCCCTCCAGGTCCACCTTGTTGCCCACCAGAATCATGGGCACGCGCTCGTACCGCTTCACGCGGATGATCTGGTCCCGCATGGGCTTGATGTCCTGGAAGCTCTGCTGGTTCACAAGGCTGTACACGAGGATGAAGCCCTGGCCATTCTTGATGTACAGGTCCCGCATGGATGCGAACTGCTCCGTGCCCGCCGTGTCCAAGATCTCCAGCACCGACGGCGATGAATCCACTTCAATCTCTTTGCGGTAGAAGTCCTCGATGGTGGGGTCGTACTTCTCGATGAAGGAGCCGGTCACGAACTGCACCGTGAGCGCGGACTTGCCCACGCCGCCCGAGCCCAGCACCACCACTTTGTACTCTCTCATGGCTCCGTAGGCGTTCTCGCTGCGCCTGCCACGGCCCCGTCGGGGCTGCGCACCGGAGGAAAGCTGGGCTTGGTGGCTGGACTTCTCTGTCCTCAACTCTGCAGGAAAAACTCAGGAGATGACCGAGGAACGCAGGACGCGGAAATCACCAAGCGGGGGCCGGGCGCCGGGCCGGCCGGCGCGGCGGCGCGTCCCTGCAGCGCGGGTCCGGGGCCCCGAGGCAGCCCACAGCGGCAGGAGCAGCCTGGGCGGCGGATCGGGAGGACAATGCCGGCAGCCGGAGAAAGGCGAGGGCTGCAGCTTCTCTCCGCAACAGCCCAGGAAGGCGAGGAGGCGGCGGCGGCGGCGGGCTGCGGAGGCGGCTGCTAATTGCGCGCCGGGCCGGGACGCGCGTGGCATGAGTCCCCGCAGAGCGTGCGCCCACCGCCGCGGCCCTTCGAGCTCTCTCCCGCAGCCTCCGCGGGGCGAGGGCTTCCTACTCGCCGCGCGCAGCCCTGCCCGCCCCGCCCTGCCGAGCATGCCCACTGCGTCGCTGCCGGCCCCGCCCGCCGGATCCCCGGCTCCTGGTTTTTCGGGGGGCCGGACGGGGGTGGGGCTGTAGGCGGAGCTAGCGGTTTGATTCCAGACTAGCGGATTCGGGATAGGTACTAGTACAGGCGCCGGAGAAATGTGTGGGGGTGTATGGGTGTTAAGAGACTGGTTGGGACAGCTCCAGAGGGAGGACGGAGGCCACCTTCCTTGGCCGACTTGGCTTTAGTGCATAGGAGTCCCGGCTCTATGAGAAGAGGGCGGGCGCCGCGGGCCACCCCGGGAGCAGGCTGGTCTCTTGCCGCTCCTTTTATCCAAAGCTGGTGGACGCCACTCCCCGAGCCCCGGCGGGTGTGCCTGCCGAAGGCCGAGACCCAAAGAACATCTCGGTGTCTGATAGACGGGCGGAGCATCTTTCCCACACTCTAGGCGTGGCCCTTTCTACCCAGCCTTCTCTGGCGGACTCTCCTCTCACTTCAGCCCTCAGACAAAGAAAGCAGGAACATTCGGCCTGAAACCTGTCCGGATGACGGCATGGGCAGCCTCTCAGTGATCAGGGCGGTCTCCGGGCTGGGACTCAGAAGGCCCCACCCACCTCCTCACTCGGCTAGGGCCAAAACCCGGAGAGTGAAAGCACCACCCGATCCGCAGTCAGCCCGGGCGCCGGTAGCTAGTCAGGGCATGCTCAGTGGGCGGAGTAGGTTTGGGGGTTTGGAAGTAGGAAGCTTGTGCACTGCGCACCCACGCTCCAGCTCAAATTACCTCTCCCAGACTCAGGACCCATTGGTCCTGGGGCGCAAATCTCACACTCTCGAGTGTTCTTCCATTGGCTACTGCCAAGGTTTTATCAGTTTGGGCTGCCTCATTGGCTAAAAAGTAGCCTCCGCTCGCGATTGGTTATTTATAGAGATTGAGTTGAGAGGCGGAGGCACAGCTGTTCTTTCTCTGCTCTCCGCCGCCCCCTTCCTCCCACTTCCCCAACCTAGTCGTTTTGAAGCTAAGAGTGAAAAAATAAAAGGAATTTAGGCGGAGAGCTCAGAGCTAAATATAGTCCTTTGTTGGTGTTTTCAAGTCTGACTTCTCGGTGCCCAGTCACGACTGTCCGTTAAAGGGAGCTGGTTACAGTTCTTGGTCCTCAAGAAATGGCAAAGTTTCCAAGGTGGTTTTTTAAAAAATTTTTCCCCAGGGAGGGGGAGGGGCTAGGGTGTGGAAATGGGCCACACTGCATTCAGCTCGCCCGGTGGGGTGGGGGAATGCCCAGGCTTGCCTTTGGTAAACATCTCTGCTGTGGGCCGGCATTCGCTAAACTGGGCTTGGCTCCTACTCACAGGAACTACCAGCGAGATGCCTTGGCTTGTTCCAGGTCTCTCCTTTCTCGGAGGAGAGACGTCAAGACCTGTCAAAAGGCTAAGCAATGATAGCGTGAGCCCCAGGGGGAAGGGGTGGGAGGGACCAGGCATCAACCCTGGCTTGGTATCCCGTCGACGCCACTTCTCACTGGTTTAACCGTCTGCATTGGAGGGATAACAGAAATGGTGTACTAATGCTTGGTTTCAGGGCCTTAGTCCTGTTGTGACTCAGGGCCGCGTGGCCAGTTAACCTTCTTTGAACCTCTAGCTATAGCTCGTAGAATGCACAGCTGCAACTTTAAGTCCTGGCCATGGGACCCAATGGCCATGGGTCCTGGGCAGCAGCCAATGCCTTGGGTGGGCGGAGCCCATTCCTGCGCCTGGCTTCGCTATTTAGTGGAGAGAGGGGTTATTAGAGTGCTTTGCTGGTTAACCCTGATATGCTGCTGCTGCTGCTGCTGAGTCGCTTCAGTCGTGTCCGACTCTGTGCAACCCCATAGACGGCAGCCCACCAGGCTCCCCCGTCCCTGGGATTCTCCAGGCAAGAACACTGGAGTGGGTTGCCATTTCCTTCTCCGAGGAAAAGTGAAAGTGAAGTCGCTCAGTCGGGTCTGACTCAGCGACCCTATGGACTGCAGCCTACCAGGCTCCCCCCGTCCATCGGATTTTCCAGGCAAGAGTACTGGAGTGGGGTGCCATTGCCTTCTCCAACCCTGATATAATTCTCCAGATACCTTTCAAGGCAAACTCACCTAATATAGCTGGAGCGATCCTCGCGTTTACCCAGTTTAATGTTTGCCAGGCGTTTTACATGTGCTATCTTATTTACTCCTCATAAAAATAGTAATTATACCTATTTTAAAAGTGAGGAAACGGAGACCCTAAGATGTCGCATAACTGGCATAACTGGCATGAAATTTCACAGCACGAGTGGTCACGCTGGGATCCTGACCCAGGTGTTTGGGTGCAGAACCTGGTCTTGTAACTATTAGGAATACTACTTTCTAACAAGAAAGTTTCCAGATGGTACTCTTTCTTAGGTTGACTTTTGAGGTAGTATGAACAGACTGGCTCTTAAGCCCAAGCTAGAGGGACCCATGTCCACCCCCTGACTCTTCTGACAGTGCCCCTCCCCAAAGGGTTAAGGAGCTAGAACCCACGTCCAGATCATGCCCCAGGTGGTCAGAATCCTGGAATCCCCTCCCCAGATAGTACCAAACCCTCTCCTAGGATCTGCTTGGACCTCTGAACTCACCCCTGTGTGCAGGAGTGGGTCTCTGTTGGAGTGCAGGTGGTGCTTGGACCCATGAGCTAAGGCGTGCCCTCCCAGGCACTTAACTGCAGGAAGAGCAGTGCCTTCTAGTCAGCTTTCTCTTCCCTGCCATTTTCCAGCCTGGCTCTTGGAGAAGTCTAAGAATTTGTGATTCACACCTGACCATCCAGGTCTTGCAAAGAAGTCTTTGTCAAGGTGGGAGGACAGATCATGTTTTAACACTGTGTTATCTTGATTTTAGGGCTTCTCTGGCGGCTTAGACGGTGAAGCATCTCCCTGCAATGCGGGAGTTTTGGGTTCGATCCCTGGGTGGAGAAGATCCCCTGGAGAAGGAAATGGCAGCCCACTCTAGCACTCTTGCCTGGAAAATACCATGAACAGAGGAGGCTGGTAGGCTACAGTCCATGGGGTCACAAAGAATAGGTCACGACTGAGCGACTTCACTTATCTTAATTTATAACTGAAATAACTAGAGTAATGCTACTTGGACCTCTGTCCTCTAGCCCACAGATGTTAGGTGTGGTTCTGAGTATGATATAGTAGAAAATACTTTGTCCTTATGGGCCAGGTGTCTAATCTCAAGTATTACTTATCAATTATTGTCTGAGACCTTGGGCAAGGCCCTCAAGTTGCTCCCGACCTTAGTTTCTCTAAAGTGGCGATAATAAAGTTTGCCCCACCCACCGAGCTACCGAAGGAAACTTGGAGAGTATCTGATGACCAAACACTTCATTTTACATCACAGCCAGTGAGCAGAATTAGAACCCTGGTATCCTGGCTGCCCCTTTTCAAGATGCCAGCCTATATTTAGATAATAATTAGCAAATAATGGATGGAAACATGCTTTTAAAGATTCAGTGTACCATATATTCAGGACAATTACAACCCAGGTGTCTTGACAGCCGTATCTAGAAGAGACCATCTTCAGGACTCTGGGTAGTCATGCAGATGGGTATTTTTGAATCTTGGTGGCCTCTCTGGTACCAAAGAGGTGCCACACTTTGAATCGTTCCCATCAAGGATTCTTTGATAACAATTTTTATTACACTCAGATAGTCTCCCTCAGAAAGATTTCCATTGGGGCCTTGGGATTCAAAATGAAGTAATGAATGAAATTACTGATGCACACATTTTTAAAGTTGATCACTTCTTCCTGTAAAATTTGTTAGGAGTCTTTATGTACCTTCCTTATGGTATAATCCTGTGTCATATCCAGTTATCCTGCACCATAATTACTTACATGTCTGTACTGTTTCACTGTGTGAAGTCCTTGAGGTCAGAGGCTGTACCTGGCTCATCTTTGGAGCCACCTCTGTCCTTCCCCCAGTAAGAATGCCTACATAGGAGTCCCACAGTTAACTATTTATGGGTTTATGAATGGCATTTTATCTCTTTCCCAAACTCTCTTTGTGGTAAAAGATATACTAATTCTTGGTGAGACAGAACGTTTCCTGTATCCTTAGAAAACTGTAAAATACTAATGTTTAAGTCTCCCTGAGTCTTAAAGATGCTGGAGTGATAAAGTCTACCCTTATATGGATGGAAACACTGTCAATGCTGTCTGGTGTGGTTCTGAGTATTTGGGAAAAAATACGAAAGCAACCAGTAGATAAACTCTTACTCTGAAGATTTCAAACGTTTGTGCAGATAATACACAAAAGACACCTTTAGAAAATGATCTGAAGTAAAAGCTAACAGATTAAGAACTACTTAATCTTTGGTATTGACTATTATATACACAGTGATCCCTACCTGGCCTGGCTTACACAGAGAGCTTCTGTGACACTGGTTTTGGGCCTTCAAAGAATTAAGAGGGTTTGCTAGGAACATGAATCTTTTAAGTCCTCCAGAAAATAAGTACCCATCTGTCCTCTTCATTTATACAAAGTGGAGGTTTATTTCATCATGTTCATAGTTTTAGCTGGCTTGACCTGTAGATAAACAAATAATTCTAAAAAAAAATTCTAATTTTGAAAATATCAGGGGTAAGTTGAGAGTGACCATATAGCATTATTTTAAAGGGATGTTACTGTAAGACTAACTGTGCTTTTCAGAGTTCTCAGTAAATATTTGTTAAGGACCTGAACATGTTATAACCAGGCATCCACAAGCAGGCTTAAGATGTTTTATCAGTGGTTTTTAAAAAATAATCTCCAGTTATGCCCCTAAGAATATTCATTAGTCAGCCAAACCGTCATCATTTCATAGTCTTCATATTGCATTTTAGGCAGCCAACTTGTAAGAACAATGGCTTGTGCTCCTTGTAATGAGATTTTATATCTTAAAAAATGTTTTAAAATTCTAGCATGGTAATTAAAGAGAGACAAATATATGCCTGGTTTTATAATTTCACTGTTTGCCCCTTATGT